TAATGTGATGAATTATGGACAGAGACAGCCTAAACTTGGAATTCCTTTGCTGTTGTCAGTTTAAGTAGGATTCTGAATGTTGCTGCAACATACTGTAGCTTTTATATTTCATGAGACTTACCTCCCACTCAATGTTCAATGATAGTGGGCCAGTGGTTTAAGATTTGGGTCCAGTTTTGTACTCCTAATTCAGGCAGAATTCCAGCTGACTTCTTAAGGAGTTTTCCTGATCAAGGAGTAAAGGATCAGACCCCAGGTAGCCACTGCATAGTCCTTACTGTCTGTGAGGGCTTTGTGCAGTTAGGGAGAACAAAAACTCCTTAACTCTTGATACACCAAGGGTAACTTTACAGAGCATACCCCACCAAAGTGGTGGGGGGGGGTTATATAATTGACATTTTACTGTTCAGCATGTTCACAAGGTACAACCTGTTTTCCAGCTTCTGAAATGTTTGCTATGGACTGAGAAATGTGTTTTAAAAAGAAGTGTTTGTTATAATGTCAAATGAAGTTTGGAGACAGGGTATAATGAAATTATACAAGAGGCAGCTTTTGACAGTACAGAGAGACTTTGTACCAAATTTCATCCAAGAATGTGCTTTTATTGCTGAGTCATAAACCATGAAAAGCAGAGTTTATAACAGAAACACCAACAGAATTCTCGCCCTTAGCTGTGCTATTATTTTAATAATAGTTATATTAAGGAATTTTTCCCCCTAAAAACCAAAATGACTGCAAAGCAAACACATTTAAAAGGTCACTTAAAATTGTTTAATTAACATAACATAAAAGAGCAACTATTGATTGCAGTTTGAATGTAATGCTGAATGTTGCAAATATGTAAATCAGTCTTCCACTGTATTTTACATCACACTATAATTGAACTCCAAAAGTTATTTAAATTTTAAACCAGGACACTGATCTGAAAGGTCTCTCTTTCCTTTGTGTCATGTAGGCATAATAGTAATTCTCAGCTAGGGTGCCTTAAAATCAAGGGTGTTGTGGGGTGCTACTCACTGTTAGTACTAGGTGTGCAACCATGATTCACAAGATAAACCTAGAGATTTCAAATAGGAATTTATGATGTCAAAACATTCTGATTTGTTGTGGTCCTTCTGAGTTGTTTCCAACAGAAGAATCTGTATATTATATTTTGTAGTAAAAACCAAAGCAAAACATGAAAGTGAAGAGCTGACATTTTTGAGGGGTACCTAGAATCTAAGGAGGGGTGTCTTGAGTTTATAGAGGCTGAGAACCACTGAGACAGAAGAATTTTCCAGCTGTTCTGCTGTAGTCCCAGCAATTTTAACATTTGGAGAATTCTAAAAACTGTCATTGGGCTTCTGCTAGGGTTTTTTTTCCCCCCAAGTAAATGATTTTCATTATTATCTTTACTTCAAGAGGAGAATTAACAATAGAAAAAAATAACTAGTTGGCTTCCCCAACATAAACCCTGTTTTTAGAGTTATGTCCATATATTGAGTGTTCAAACCCCATGTTAGCCAGAGGGAGTATTAAAGACCTACTGTGGCATCAGTTCAAAGGGAGTGATTAAAGGGGAGAGTCCAGATCAGCTGGAAAGGAAAGAATACCAGATGTGGAGTTAACTGGAGTAGTCTGCCAAAGGGAAAGTAGGCCTGGTGTTGGACATGTTACCAGCTATTTGCCTGTTGTTGTGAAATAAGCAGCCAACAAGCAATGTCCAGCCTGAAGGGGATAACACCTAAGTTACAGGTGCCCTTGTGCCTGATGCCTGCTCTGACACATTCTAATTAAAATGCGTTGGAGCAGACGCAATTAGCATGTTCCAACAGGCTCAGCGTCACGTGTTTTCAGCATCCCTCCATTACAAAATGGTGGCAGGGGTACTTTAACTAATGCTCGTTGAACGTGCACCTCAAATTGAATGAGAGTCACTCTAATTAAAACACCCCCTCAGCCCCAGAACACATGTAAAGATGCCCAATTTTTTGCACCTGACAAAGTGAGACTTGATAATTGTTTTCCATTAACCCAAAATGCAAGTGTAGGGAATGCCTTGTTCTCCTTTCCCTTACAGACCAATGAACATGCTAGCAACACTATTTCTCTTTTTCTTTTATCTTCAGATATTGTCTCAGATTTCAGTCTGGAGTGCAGTCCCATCCCCTGCCACACCTTTTTAAACACATTTCTGGCTTGTAAGATCATGGGGTTTTTTCTTTTCATTAAGGTACTTTCTTTTCTTGATGAGTCTGTACATTGTGGCAGGGCACTTTTGGTGTCTGCCACTTTAAAGTTTGAGAGCTGGCAGCAGGGCAGCCTGCAGGTGTGGGCTAGCGCTAATGAGGCAGTCACATGACTGCAGGAGAGCCCTGGGATAGGAGGAGAGGGCTGAGATGCCTCCATTTTAGATCCAGGCTCCCAGGACTGAGGCAGCAGTTTGCTGGCAGCTGGAATAATGACACCCAGCTGAGCTCCTGCTCAGAACATCTTGGAGGTAAGGACAGGAGGTATGGGGATGGTAGGAGGCTCCTGATCCCAGGTATGACTTGAAACTACACCCTGCTGAGGAAGGATGGGCTGATGGGACTGCCCGTGGCAGGGTAATTCCCCAGATATACCAGGCCAGTTGCGTCCCCAGTGAAGGGTGGGTAGGGGCCCCCACTACTCCAGTGTGTAATTATGAGTGGGAACAGACTGGGTCAGGGGCTGGGGGAAGGGGACAGGCATGCCTAGAGAGAGGTACCTGAGCTCTGCAGGAGTGTAAGACTCCAGAGGTCCCAGAGAAGAGAGCTTGGAGCAGCAGGTAGCTTTCTGTGCCCCCCCAGCAGTGCCCTGCTGCACTGGGTTCCAACGCTACTCTGCAGAAGCAGTGGTGAGGACAGCACAGTGGGGAGCATCGCCGGTATCTGCTGCCTCCCCAGAGCCTGGGACTCGGACTGGGGCTGGGAGGCAGCTGGGGCTGGGATGGGGAGGCAGCAGTTGTTTACAGCCAACTTAGGCTCTGGGTAGCTGCTGTTAGCTATGGAGCCTGAGCTACTTGCAGCAGGGCTTTCATCCTCCCAGCCACCTGTTGGGAACAGGCCAGACTCTGGCTATCAGCAGCTACCCAGAGCCTAGGCTAGCTGCAGCTGGGAGGCTACAAACAGCTGCTGCCCTCCTGCCCGTGGCCCTGGCTGTCTCCTGGCTCCGGGCTCTGGGAAGGCAGTGGGTGCCAGCACTGCATCCATTGGGGCCAGGGCTGGGGCCACAGTGGCGAGGAAGCAGCTGTTTGTAGCCTCCCAGCTGCAGCCGGCCCTGGCTCTGGGGTAGCTGCTGCCAGCCATAGTGCCTGGGCTGCTCCCAGCAAGGCTTGCAGCCTCCCAGCCACCTGCTGGGAGCAGCCCAGGCTCCCAGCTGGTAGCAGCTACCCAGAGTCAAGGCCAGCTGCAGCCAGGAGGCTGCAAACAGTTGCTGCCTCCCTGTCCCAGCCCCAGTGCATGCCGAGGAAAATGGCTTTGTGTGCCATGCTTGGCATGCGTGCCAGGGGTTGACGACCCTTGGCCTAGGAACTCTGCAGACACAAATTACAAAAGACGCTACATTTTCAAATATCTTTATTTGATACCTCATGCAAGGAGGGGTCAGATTTTAACCCAATCAGCCATCTTTTGAAGCTGTTTGCAGCTGTGCACTTGTTCAGTCACAGATATAAACTGCTTGTTTGTTTGTTTTTGTGTTGTTTTGTCTTTTTGTGGCCAGATCAGGCAAAAATTGTCACTTCTGTCTGCACTCCAGATTAGCAACACTCTCAGTTTAAATAGCCTGATTATCCTAGAGCATAGTCAGACCCAAACTGGCAGCTAATTCAGGTACTGGTAGTATTGTGGCCATGCCAGCAGGAAACTCAGCATGGGCTAAATTACCCTGATATTTTTTTTTTTTTCAATGGGTTTTGGCAGCCTCTCCTGAGCTACATGTTGTCACAGCTAGAGAGTTACCAGGATAAAATCTACCTAGTTTAAAGATTACTTGGGTATGTTTTGTGCTGAAGTGCAACATAAATGCATGAAGATAAATATGTGCATAAATCTTTACAAGTCTGGAATCTTTATATCTCTTTCACTGCGATTTAAAAACAGACTTCAGATTCATCCTGGGTCTAATTATTTCCCTGGATTTAGACTCCCATCAAAATAGGGGCATGGGAGAGACAGCATTTGCACACGGGGTTTGAATGGCAATTAGTTCTGATTGTGGGGGGAGAGGGAGTGTTATCTTGGTCCTTCAAGAGTACAGTACTTCTAAATGTGCCATTTAGATAGTTACACACAGACCCAAACCGTCCCAGCTCCCTGGTGCACGGGCTGCAGTTTTGCATAGAACCTGTTCTGCCAGGGTCTCTGACTTGATATACAAGCCTCTGGGGATTGTGAAGGAGGGAATTTTGGCCCCTATACCCCAGCCACCTCACTTGCAGGATGGCCCAATCCCCACTCAAACATAGGGAATATGATTGCCTGTTGTCCTGCCTGCCTGTGAAGAGAAGAAGGCAATGCTTTCTTCGTTTTTCTCCTTTACATCTTGAATGATAAACCATAAACAATGAATGACTAAAATTGGTCCACATAACTACTCTCTTCATACTGACCCTGATGACCTGACTGATTTTAAGTCTGTGCCAAATGTCTGTGTTCTCATAGTGGAAAAAAGAGAGCATCACTCTTAATCTTTCTGAAAGGAGGTACTATACTGGGTATACACTCAACTAGCACCTTGAAAGACCAGGGTCCTAAAAACAGACGTTAGGTTTCTCTAGAGACAAAACCTTTTCCCCTGGGAACATACAGTGTACAAGCCCATTGTCCCACTTCACTCATAAAGTATCTGAGATAACACTCTTCCTCAGACAGTCTCTCCTAATACTTGCTTGCCACTTATTCTAGGGCCAAATTGCCCATGTAAAGGGCTATGCCACTCCCAGGTTTTGACTCTGATCCACCAGATCCATCAGAACAACCTCAAGTGTCTGTTTTCAGTAGTTGTATTTGGTAGCTATGTTGATCTGAGATGATAAAAAAATGCAAAACTCTAGAACTCTTGGTTCAGAGATGATACCTTTTATTAGACCAACTAAGAAATTGCAATCATCTCTGAACCAAGAGTTCTAGAGTTTTGCATTCCTGTTTTCGGTAGGGTATTCTTACAAAACCTGGTTTCTTGACTACAGGATTGGCTACTTTCTAAAATATTTTGTCTGCCAAGTCTAATCTCTATGACACAACCCACTACACAATGGCAATCCCTTACTATAAAAGCCTCAGGACAGGGACATGGTACGTCAAGATTAAGATGCAGTGGGAGGTGAAATTTAGAAGCTCAGATACCTCAATCCAACATTATTAGCCGTCTGGAAAAGAGCACACTAAATTTTTGTCGTGCCTAGAAAAAAGAGCTAAAACAAACAAGAAGTTAAAACAAATAAGAAACAAACAGCTTTTCCACCAACAATTATTTCTTGAGGGTGAGATTCACTGTTAGGTTGCTTCTGAAAATTCAGGTGTCCAATGTATCCATCAGTTAATTGGAACATTGAAAGATGGTGGGGAAAAAGATAGAAGTAAACACTGCTGAATGTAGCTGGTTTTTTGGATGTTATATTATTACTGGCAAATAAATCACAAACTATGGGCAATTCCTTATGTATAGAACATAAACTAATGTTGATTCAAATTATGAAAATCTTTACATTAAAAAATAAATGCTTTGTTTTAAAGCTTTGGACTGTAATTTTTAGATGTATGCACATGATTTAATTCATAGAATACTGCTAAGCCTGTGAGTGAATCTTTGCATTAGAAAAAATCATTGCTGTTTCCCCATAAGAATGTACATGTTTGCTTTTCCTCTGAAGCTCATGAATATATCAGCCCATGATCACTGTAGATGGATCACTCAAGCATGCAAGGACCTTTATAGAATAAGGGCCTTAGTTAAATGAATAGTTACCAAATTATATATATAACAATTTTTTTTTTTCAAACTGGCTTGGAAACATCCAGCATTGTTTTAATGTTTCTGGAAAATTCAACACAACTTCTAATAATCGTGGTTTGAGTTTTAACCACATACTTTATTTTTGGAATGAGGGAATTAATATTGCTGCAAGGGAATTTTTTTTGTGTGTGTCAAAAAGAATTGCCGTTTGCTATTTTCAGTACTACTCAACGTGAAATTCTTTCTGCTGATATAAGAGCCTCTGAAAACAGAAATTGCTACTCAGCATGTAATTATATTAAAGGGACAGGGAACTTAAAATTTGTTTGATCATAAGTTCTACTGTTGAGTGGAAAAATCTTTGTGAATACCATATATAATTATTGTTCATGATAAACTAGACTTAATTGTATTATGTTTTGGAAATATTTTCATTGACTTTAAAACTTCTGTTTCATCCTTCACTGCTCAAATGGTAAGAAGCTCCTCAAAAACTGTTAACCATACAATATTTCTCATGTCTCTAGAAAGGATTGCCTTTTGTATTTAATAATATAAAATGTGTGTTTTATTATAACTGGAGAAAGCAACTATATAAAAAAGAAGTGTTCTTCTTAAACTCTTTTTGTAGAATAGTGTCTTATCCATACTGCAGGAACTTGTATGTTGTTTTTTTTCCCTAAAAAATAGCGAAACTTTCACTAACATTAAGCATTCATGACTGGGTCCATGTGTATAAAGCATATTAATTTTAGTTCTATGGAGTTCTCTCTAAGGGTTTAGGATTTTCAAACATTAAATTGGTAGGCAGTCCATAAATTCCATTTACAGACTTTTCATCTTGGTTATTAGCAAAATCAACCATAACATGTAGGAATTGAGAATAGGTTAAAGAAATTATGGGTATCACATAAATGTCTCTCTGAAGGAATGAAAAAATGGATGCCATATGTATACAATAACAAATGTTTGATTAATAGCTCTGACTCCTACTGTCAGTTATCTTCTACTATTTATTTTACTGTAATCCATGCTAAAAGCATATTAGGAAACACAGTCTCCAAGCATTTCTATATATTTGCTTCTGTACAGACAGTTAAATGCTAATTCATATAGCAACTTGGAGTAATTAGTCTTAACATTTCACCTGTCATCTATATTTCTATAGGCTCCTCAAGAAAATGAACAGGGAACCTGGTCAAAACCAAATTGAAAGAATGTTATGCATATATTTGGCAAGAAAATTTTCCAGTGTGACCTTAGAGCAAAGGTACCACAAGTACACACATTCACATACAGCCAGTACAATCACAAGAAGAATGGAACACATTGCTAGGAAAAAGATGAAGAAACATTATTGGAACTGATGGGTGAAGTATAGGTATAATGTTCGCCAAGACTGAGTCAACATTTCTTAGTAAAAGCCCCTCACCCAATCCCAATTGTGAAAGGACAATGATTGGAGGCATAAAGATCAGCCTCAATAGGATTTTTTTTTTTTTTTTTTTTTAAAGATCTGGTCAGTTAGACTACAATAATGGGAATCTGGTTATAAAATGTGTTGTAGAATTTGTGGCATGCTGCGTGGGAGTTGTGGATGTTGTCTCAAATATAATGTACTAAAATTGTGAAGAAATAAGTAGCTCAGGATTTGATCTAATTAATCTCAAATGGAGACTGCAATTGAGAAGTGTACACCTATTTAAAAAGGGGCAAAATGTGGTTAGCAAACACTGGATGTGCTAATACTTGACTTGATTTCATTACAGCTATAAGTGAAATAAATTCTATTTTATTCTGTTCTGTACTGGTTCTTATGCTACACTATTGCCTTTAATGTCGGGAAACCATTCACTGAATTTAGTTGGTGGAAATTGCCTTTACGGATATGGTTCAGACAAAGCCAATGAGTTGTAAGCCACTGGTGTGCAGTGGGTATATTAGATTATCCTGAAAGATGTAAGAAGCAGGCAGGCCTCCAAATGAAGCATTTTGACACCTTTGAAATGGGAAATGATGGTTTATGATCAGCTTCCAGTTTGAAACTGAATCCAAATAAAATGTGTGTTGTTCATAATTAGTGTGTGTGGGCGGAGGGGTGGGGATCATTGAGGGGGGAGGGGCAATTTCTACTGACAGAAAGGTAAACTGGAGCTGTGCTGTACCAGCCAACTCCCCAGGCAGACTTCTATTATATGAGATTCATTTGTAGGTTTGCCAATACTGGAAAACCATTGCATAGCTTGGGTGAGAGGGAAACCATTTTAGGGGCCAGCAAAGTGAGATTTAGCTGTTTCAGAGTTGAAAATGGCTTGCTCCTATTTTCATCTACCTATTTTTCAAAATCCTCTTCAGAATGGACACAGATGCCAGCGGTTACAAGTCAGGGATGTTATTACCACAAACAAAAAGAACTTGAGATGGTAGTGGCTTTTTACTTTAGTTTAAGTTAATTTTGGAAGAAATTATTGTATCGCTTGAAAGGAACTCCAGAGCGGTAAATCTATAGAAAGTGTTTGTACTGGAGATAGTCTGTTAGCAAAGCAGACAATTCACCCCTGCAACAACTTGCAAGGGGTTAGATAGACTGCAGCACCATGATTTCACAGCCATATCAGGCACAAGCACGATAATAAGGGTATCTTGATTTGCTGGCTTTGTTAGTAGACTAATTGCAAACATTGCTCTTTAATAGAGCAAGGAAGAGGCTGCATAAAGCATGAGTGTGCTTTGAAAGATATGCGTTTCCTCTCTTCCCTTTTAATTTGCAGGAATGCAAATTCTCTTAGTACAGGGGTATAGGTTGTAGCTGTGTTGGTCTAAGGACGTAGGTAGACAAAGGTTCTTTGGGTGAATCTGATACCTTTTATTAGACCAACTTTAACTATTTAAGTTATCAGATCCACCCAAAGAACCTTGTCTGCCTAATTCTCTTGGTAAACGGTAACCTCTGTGGCTGGCCGTGAGAGTTATGTAGAAAGCAAGGGAATAACTTGTTGAAGCAGCCAGGTGAGACAGCCATCTTGCAAGAAACACTTGCAGCTGTTGTACTTTAGAAAGTAGCTCAACGGAGGGACCTACTGACCCAAACTCAGAGCATTAACAAGTTTCATTGAAGCTGACAGAAGAGAGTTGCTGAGTGAAAGTGCAAGAGGCTTGGTAGTGTGTGGTGGAGATGCATGGCAGCAGCCTGAAGAAGATAGATGAGGAAGCAAAAAAAGTCAATCGGAGAATGAGAGAAGCAATTGTAGTACAGCCTGAGAGGAGGATGAAGGTCAGCTTTTTGGGCAGTATGGGATGCAAAGAAACTATGGCAAGTTTGATTCCTTTTGTGTCCTGGGGCACAGCATGCACTCTTTTGCAAGCAAATGGAACTACATGTAAAAAATACCTAACTCCACCATCAGTTTCTCCTCCTTGTGGAAACACCTGTCCCACAGGTTCCCAAATACTGACTGGATGAAGAGAGGTAATTTCACAAACACTTTTATAAGCAGTTCTAGATTTCAAGCTCCTGAGGGCAGTGACCTGTCTCGCCTGTTAACAACAAGCAGGCTGACAGGACAGTACCTAAAGAACCACAAGACAGTCCTACAGAAAGGAAGCAAGAAAGGCATGGTTCTAAACTCTTCTTGCTTTTTTTTTTTGCTTCAAGCAGGAAGGTCCCAAAGGTCATGCTGTGATGAGGATGAGGCAGCTGTGTGCTACTTCCCTGTATCTTTCCTGCTGACTTCTAAACCTCTTTACACTTCTTCTTTTAAGCATCCTCTGGTGCTAGTGTTCTGTCACCTACACTTTTGTAAGAAATCATTGGGAAAACTGTGTGGGGGCTGAAATAGCAGAGCACTGCCTAAGATAACAGCTGGATGTCAGCCCAGGAGAAAGCCCCTGAGCCCCACTCCCCCTGCTCTCTACATGCTGGATGAAACCAGGTGCATCTTTTCCCAGGTTGCCCCAGACATGGCCTTAGCTCCCCCCCGACACAGCTGCCTAGATTTATTTTTGCTGGCTTAGGAGTAGTGGAGGCTGGCTAGCCAATCCAGCCCCAGGCGCCACCACTTCGGTCCGCAGAATCGATGCTACTAGTGCCCTATCCGCGTGCCGGGACAGAGAGAGCCGCCTTCGCTTCCCTGGACAGGCCGGCACCCCCAGCCCCGCAGCACCAGGCTGCACTGATAGCGCCTGCCCCGGGCTCCGACTCCATGCAAAAGAGCAGCCAATCACCGAACGCGCTCACTGAACGATTTGCATACGCGGTTGCCATGGAACCCCCCCTCCCGGTTGCTCTCCCTTCCTATTGGCTGTCTCCGCGCCGGCTGCTTCTGGCCCCTTGGCAGTGTCTCCCGGCCCTTTCCCGCTGCCCCCGGAAGTAGTTGTGGGGGTGCCCTGGAAGTAGTTTGGGCAGAGTCCGGCCCAGAGTGAGGCCCTGTTGCTGCTGCTGTCGGGAGTTGCCGTTGGTATAGGCGTTGACGGTGGCATTCGGAGCCCGGCCAGGCCCGGGCTCATGGCGGAGGTGAGTGCCGGGAGGGCCCTGTGCCCGGGCTCGCAGCCTCCTGGGGCCGGGCCTGCGGGGGCCGGGGCTCCCCCCTCTGCCCCCCGCCCGTGAGGCGCCGGCGGCCGCAGTCCGCGCAGGGCGACAGGAGTGGAGCCGGCCCAGGCGGGAGGCGACGGGCGAGAGCAGAAGCCCCAGGCCGGGGAGCGTTTGCCGCGGGCTCAGCCCGAGCCGGGAGCCTGGAGGGGCGGCAGCGGCCCCCCTCGCCCCGTCTGCGGACACGGAGGCTGGGAGGGTCCTAGTGTTGTTCCTCCCCCCCCGTGATGCTGTCCTGGAGGTTCCCCAGCCCCGCTCGACGGCGGGCTCCGGGGGAGCGGTGCTCGCACGGCCAGTCCGCAGGTGGCAGTGACCGGGGATTGCCTGCGAGGCGCCTGTGTGATTATTTATAGTGCGACATCGTGCTTAGCGGTGGGGAAAGAGGTAGGACGAGTCAGGCTTGGCATCAGCCTGGCCTCCGTGGTGCTCTGTGCTGCTGACCAGCTCTTTTTGGGCGACTTTTTTCCTTCCTTTTTTTTTTTCCCCTGGCAACTTCTTTTTGAATGTGCTCTTTAAACACTTTATTATTTTGCTGGATGGGCTTCAGGAGAAGTGATGTCTGAAAACATAAGAGCTGCTATTGACTCTTATGGTCAGGCAGTAGGTCCTTTTGACTGGTCTCTTGTGTCACGCTGGGATTCAGGCAGGAACTGGCCCCTTTTCCTCCCAGTTGCATAGTGGCAGAAAGTGAATGCTGACTGACCAAGCTGGGTATGACCAGGGTTTTTTCCCTCTCCACTGTTTCTCTCTCATTTGCAGCCTCTGGCATTTAAGGTCTAGGACAGTGGTTCTCAACCTTTTTTGTACCAGGACACATTTGTAAACATCGATGGCCAGTCCCAACCCTGTGCTTGTCACTCCTGATCCACTGTCCCCAGACCCCAGTTCCCCAGTGTGTGGGGCAGGAGGCCCCAAGCAGCCCCTTGCAGGCTGGAGCTCTGCCAGCTTGCAAGGGAAAAGCCACAGTTTCCCATGTTTTTCCCCTTTAAAGGCAAATCCATTTTTAAAGTTTGTTGATCCATTTTTAAAGTTTCTTCCTGACCCTTTCATATATTCTTGTGACCAACTTTTGGGTCTTGACCCACGGGCTGAGAAATGCTGGACTAGGAAGTTCTGATTCAGAAGCGGCACCCCTGACTTCCATGCTCAAAAGCTACTGATGCCTGTTTCCTCCAAGAGTTTGTCCAATCTCTTTTTTAGTCTGGCTAAGCTGTCAATTTGCACAATATCTCATGGCAGTGAATTCCACGCTTAAGTGGCATGCTGTATGAAACAGAGCTTCCTTTTGTTCATTTTAAACTTATTACCTACTCGTTTCATTTTGTGACCCCCTAGTTCTTGTCTTGTGAGAGGGTGAGTAATAAATCTCTCTACTTTCTCTTTGCCATTTAGTATTTTGGTAAACCCTTATGTCCTCCCTCAAGCATCTCTCTTCTAATCTAAATAGGCCTAGTCTGTTTATTGTCTCCTCTTATGGAAACCCTTCCCTACTGCTAATCATGCGTTTTGTCTTGCTTTGGACCTTCTCTGGTTCTTCTGTGCCCTTTTTGAGGTGTGGAGACTAGAACTGGTATTCAAGGTGTGGATGCACTGTGAATTTATAAAAGAGAAAGCATGCACTTTTTCCCTGAATAGTTGTTGGTCTCAAGCTGCTTTGATATTGGCAGTTACTTTACACTAATGTTCTTCTAGATGCAATTTAGTAGCTGAACAGTCTAGTTTCTAGAAGGGGAAAAGCTATATGGGTTTTTGTATGGTTCTGTGGTGCATTAAAATGCTTTGCTATTAAGATGTATAGGTTCAGTTCCAGAAAGTGCCCAATATCTGTACTGAAGTTAGCTAGAAGTGGAGTCCCATATATATATTCCTCAGTTTCCACTGCACTGAAAACATTCTTTTCTCTCTTCCTTTTTTTAAAAGGAATTGCATATTATATTGTCAGCAATTACCCATCAAACTCTAAATTCAGTCCCTTTCTCATTTGCCTTTTATTTGGTTATTGACCCCTGATTAACATGGGCTTCTGTGTTAAAAATGTGTTGGAAGTGCTTATTAAAACAGTATTCCAGCAACCATATTCATATCTGTTTAATTTTTCCTTCCATAATTTTGCTTTCTTCCCAGTTCAGTGTCTTAATTTAAATTTTGACTGTTCTTTGTATCCACCAAAGACTATATAATCTTTTCTATGCAGCCTTTTCATATATAGTAATTCTATAATGTGTTGAAAAAATCCTGGATTCTGATAATATGGAAAATAGTTCTAAAAAAGATGTGGATAGATTCCAAACTTACTGTTTAAATATTGCATAGCAATGTATGTATCTGTCACTCATGTAACAAACCATGGTGGTGTTATAAAGGGGAGAATTTATTTTATAAATGCTGTTTAGCTTTGTACACAAAATGGTCATTTCTGTTGTTTTGAACCGATGCTGTTTTATGGGACTTCTCCACAGTCTTCAAGACTGTGAATTTCAACTTAGCTCGGTGGAAAGAAATGTTAGGTCAGTTCTACCTGAAAAGTAATCACATAAAATAAATGTGGATAAAATACACTGGGTGTGGGTGGCAAGGCTAATTAACCAAATAAAAGTTAGAATGATTCTGTTGGGTAGTAGCTGTGCCTAGAGATGACCTTTACTAAGTTAAGATTAAAACTAATTTCAGAGCTTAGTGAAAATAGATGTTAGTTCTTAAGTAGCAGATGCATCTGATGTACATTGGACAAAAAGCAAATTCTCAACATTTTCTCAAAAGTGATTTGTGTGTGTGTAGTTATGTCCAAAAGTATTTTCAATAACCAGATTCTATTCTAGTCGATTTGTTAAGCAGCCCTTAAATAGCTGTAGCCTGTTTTACCTTACATTCAGTTATGTGCAAATAGGTGCTCTGCTATTTATTCCTGTTTGCCACTTTGCAGTCTTTGATACAAACTGTAGAACTAGGTTTAGACAAGATTAGTCTGCTAATAATACTTGACCAGAAAAAAAAGTTAAAATCTATTTTTCTTGTCAACACGTGCTTAACTTTACACGGCTTAGTTCTAGTGAAATCAGTGGAGCGATTCATGTTTAAAGTTCAAGTGTGCACACACACACGGGCATGCACACACGTACAGGATTTTGGACATTGAATAGGTAAACTTCTTGTCTACCTGAACTGATGCGATAAATTCTTAACTGTTCCATGTACTGTTGTCAATTTTCATGTAGCAAGCTCTGGATATTATTCCCTACTAAGTCTAACATTCTGGAAATTATGAGGCTAGTAATTGTGAAAAACATGGTCTTTTACTGTATAATACACTGTACTTTCATTTAGCACTCTCTGAGATTTTATAGCGACTCAGTTATTTTGAGTGCACTGACATCCACATTCCGAGTTTGATTCAGAACTCATTGAAATCAGTGTGGTTTTTATTGACCTCAGTGGGCATTGGATTTTATCCTGTAGGTGCTTTAAACAATACCATTTTTAGCATAGGTCATGGGTGAAATTCACTCCTGGCTGGCTAGCTTAACACCACACTGCTTACATCCCTCATAAGACCCTCGTTTAGGGTTGATGTGGGGATTAAATGAAGTATAGCAGTGGTGGTCAATCTTTTAGTGTGGTGGACCAGGCCTCTCCAGAAGAAGGAGGTAGCTCCCAGCGTGGAGGTCAAAGGGGGAGGGAAGGAAGGGAGCTTACATCTGGTAAATAACACTTTCCTAGAGGAAGAGGGAGGGAGAGAATAGGCAGCATCTGCAGTAGAGGAAGCGAGAAAGCACAGAGGGTGGGCTGAGGATGGGGCCAGGGGCACAGTATAGGGCAGAGAAGGGGACTCATGGGACTGAGCTACTTGCTGCTCATCCTGTATGCCGTGGGCTTGATCCAGTCTCTTTGGGATGGCCATAGGTTAAACACCACTTGCGTGTAGGCCTTGGGTAGGCATTCTGGCACATGGGAAAATCTGTCAGTCTGAGCTGTGACTCTAGGAAGTCTCAGTTAAGATACAGGGGTGTAGGTTGTAGCCATGTTGGTCTAAGGACATAGGCAGACAAGGTTCTTTGGGTGAATGTGATATCTTTTATTAGACCAACTTAAATAGTTGGAAAAAAAATTCTTAGCTAGCTTTCGGGTTTAAAAACCCTTTGTCAGGCTTTTTAAACCCGAAAGCTAGCTAAGAATTTGTTTTCCAACTATTTAAGTTGGTCTAATAAGAGATATCACATTCACCCAAATAAACTTGCCAGTTAAGAAACTGCATTTATTCACTGAAACTCTCAGCTTATTAAATTTAAATAATTAAATTGAATGAAGACCATTATGTTGGGTTTTTTGGAGGTTCTTTTGTTTTGTTTTGTTTTTTTGGTGTCCTTGCTCAAACAGTATAACTGTGGTAAGATTTGCAGGAAGATTAGGGCAGCATTTTCACTTCAAACAAAGAAACAAAAGAAAACAACCTGTGTTAAAACTTACTAAATTCATGAATTAGCACTCTGTTATATTTTGGTAAACTTTTTTGGCAAGCTTAAATAGAAAATATTCAACAGCATCTCTAATCCAGGAGTGCCAGGTTTATTTGGCAGAGGGCTGAATTCCATTTTAAATTATAGTTCATGGAGTGTGGGGTACAAGCATAAAACTTAGTATTCTCTTTAATCCATGCCAGTCTTCCACTGTCACTAGGAGCCTTACAAGGAGCTTGAGGAAAGAATTTGGTCTTTATGTAAAAACTTAAGTATTATTATCCTTATTTTGTTCTACCATAGTCCATGGGAAAACATACTCCCCTTTAAGGCTACGATTAGTTTTGTTTTTTTGATCTTTCTCTCTCAATCTTCCCAATTCTTTCCCTGAAGTAACTCCTAGTTCTTACTTTGCTGTAAATTTTTCCATGTGGTATGAGAAGGTAAGCAGCTCTAAAATAGTTAATGACACAGAAAGGTCATCATTGGATTTAAGAGCTGAGACCCCAATGAGATTAATAGGGTGCAGGGGAGTTTACATTTAGTCACTGTTTGCAGCTGTCTATAGACTCGGGCAACTGTCACTGCAACGCTTTAGCTTGGTTCATATTTGTAAGCTTTTTTTTTGGCAACCATTAGGGGTAAAAGTTTATTTAAAGAGAGAGGAGGCTAAGATTCTATGTAGCCTGAACATGGGAAACAAATGAATTAAGTGCAGTATATACAGCCTCTGGGCCATGGTTTGACAATCCTTCTTTAATTGGTTAGTTGAGAAGCTCTTGGTGATATTGTTAGAAGGGGCAAATATCTTGAATGCACACATATAAAACTTATGCCATGCACCTCTGATTTAGTTTGTCTACAAGGTGCAGATGTACCCTGCCTTCTGCTTGGAGAATTTCAGCAGAGAACCCTACTGTTTTAAATTACTGGCAGGCTTCAGCAGAAGTGCGCTTGACCTGTTTAATGTAAATACGTAGAAAATTATGACAAATGCATAAACACACTCGTATTGGCAGTGATTATTCATAAGTCAAATTAGATTCTTCTAACATTAACTCTTATTTCAGTATTTCAGGACTTCAGTTAAAATTGAAGGAGTCAGAAACCACTTAACTGGTGCCTCTACCAAGGAAACAGTAAGATTCTAATAAGAGGTAGAAAAATTACTATTAGTAGTAAGACTGATCATCTTGACCTTGAAAACTGAGGCTCAGTCACGTTACTTTAAACTACCTGGAGAGAGTGGTTACTGATTATCTGCTTAAATACAGTTTTTTTTCAAAATCTGACTGGAAAGCCTTAAGTTCATTCTAAAAGTATGACTTGATATCTCAATCGTACATTTCTTAAAGTATATTAAAAGGTTTTATCTTATGTATGGCTAAATAGCACCATCACTCTTTAGCATATGTTTTGGTGAAATCTTTTCCTCAAAACTATGCTTACAAATAGCATACTTATGGTTGTGGAGCAGTTGCAATGCAGTAGCTGTGAACTCTTCCACTATATAAATTATTCTAAGGGGATTTATATTTTCTCTCTCC